GCTTTATCAAGGGAAATCGGTAACCTTGAGGACAGTTGAAAGTGTTGGTTAAAAAATGCCAATCTACTTTTTATGCACCTTCAAAGGCAAAAGTGGCGGTTTCTCCACTTTTTGCATCGAGACAACAAAGCGATTTTGTGGGTTATGCCACTCCGGGAAAGTCGTTTTCTCCCCCGTTGTAGATATAAGTATGTAGCCTCCACAGAAAAATTATTGGGACACATAAATTTTGTCATTAATGTCTATGCAAATATAACGAGGCTAAAATGTCTCCTTGAGAGGAATGAAGTGTCATAAGCTTGAAAAGTCCTGGTTTTGATTAAATAAGGGTGAAACTAGGTAAACTCGGCTCCACTTAACGACTTATTCATGGATTAAGCCAAATCAACTTCACTTATCCTCCAAGTAAGGCCGATAGGAAAATTGGGAGGCCTTCATTCATCTTACCTATGCTCTGATTTGAGAGACTCATTCACTTGTTGAAGAGCCCGAGCCTATTTATGGAACCAACGGTTTGCCACAACCTCTTCCAGCCATTACTAACAAGCAAGCGGTTGCACAAAAAGTGGAGGAGAATGAGGGAAGGGGAGTAAAAAAGTGAATACTTTATTGAGATGAATGTGTACGAGGAGGTGAAAAGAACTACCCAAGTCCTTTCTCTCGTCTTCACTTTTTCTCTCGCATTAAGATTCATGGAACCTAAAGGCGATTTTTTCCCAAAACCATTTTTACCAACAAAATCTAGGACATTTAGAGAAATCAGTCATCCCTGCCCTCCTTTGCTGTAAAGTTTGATTTAACTAGAGATACTAAGTTCATGGATTTTCATTTGTTTTGAAGAGTCTAAGCAAAAGAATTCCAAATCGAATCAAATCAAATTTTACGGAAATTCGGTGACGCGGTTTTAAAAAAATATTCCCACATCGTCATCTGCTTTAGGATCAGATGAAAATTCCGCGTCCCTTGAATTTAATTTTGTCTAATTCGAAAACTTAAAATGAAACCACACACACGCATAAAATATGATGACAAGAATGAAGTTATCACTGTTATTTGCAATGCGTTTATGATGGCAAGTTTGACAATGACAATGACTTTCTTCACTAAATAAATCGTCCACATTGGTTCGAAATTTACAACCTCTCGCCCATCCACATGGAGGAAATAAATAAATCATTTGAAATATGAGACTTTAGGCAATTTATTTCTACTGAAAAGGTGGA